GAGGTCTCGGAAGTTCAGTGGATCTTGAGGAAGGTGGATGTCTGGCTGTGGGGGATGGGGCAGCAGGATGACAGGGAGGGGTAGGGAGCAGGCTGAGCTTTCCAAGGGGCTACAAAAGAGGGCAGGACGCTCCAGCTAGAGAGGACAGAGAAAGAAGTGGCATCAAGTAGAAATAGCTATATTCACTTCTTACATTATTGTCACTTTAAAAACAATAATAACAATCCACTGTCATTCCAATATAGTATCGGTTTCCTCACATTTTCAAACAACCCACAGAAAGTGTGTTTTAACCTAACCACTGAGAGATTATGGTGAAGGCAGCTGATGTAGAAGAAAAAAGAAAAAACAAACTAAAGTGAATGAAACAACAAAATTAATGTGTCCCTTAGGTATATTTATTGTTGTGTTTTTTGATTTTTCAGCCCTTAAACTAAAAATACTTTCCCCAGAATTTACCTTCCTAAATGTTGTTATCAGAAAAGAGATTCATCATATCTCTTTCAAGTTTTTGTTTGTGGTTTTGGGGAATTTTTTTTTAACCTCACTTCCTTCTTGGTTTGCGATGAGAAAACCTAAAGTCAACTCTCAGCGACTTTGAAGCACAAAATACGTTGTTATTAACTACAGTCACTATGATGTACCAGGGATCTCTTGAACTTATTTCTTCTGTCAAACTGAAATTGTCCATCTTTTGACCAACATCTCCCCAGTTCCCCCAGCCCTTGCCCCTGGAGACAACAATCTATTTGAAATTGTTGAATCTGAATTACTAAGGAATCACCTTAGCCAAGAGAGACCAGGGAATGTGAGACTAACTTTGGCGTGTATTGAAGTTATCTTCCACACAATAAAACAAAGCAAAAACTCATATGAAAACTAGATTACTGACAAAATAAAGCTAAAAGGGCCAAGCTCAGCTCCAAAAATTGTGATTTAGCAGGTCTGAGATTAGACACAGAAAGTATCTTTTTTTATCAATCACGAAATATTTTTATCATTCATTCCAGGATCTGAGAATGAACGACTCAATAGATTAATTCAGGGGAAAGAACAGACTATTGCAGGGATTTCCCATAGGTGACTTATCTTTCTCCTGCATTCCTGCAGCTCTAGTTTCTTTCTCTCTCTTTCTGTCTCTCCTATTTCTTTGCAAATGAAAATCTCTCTGCCCAGCTCTGAGGGGAGCTGGAGGGAGGAGGGGGAGGAGGAAGGGTGTGGAAGGAAGAAAAGAGGAGAACCCAAAGGACGTGTGGGGAGGAGTGTCCAGACACCTGGTGGACCCAGGACGCACAAGTCACCTTCCCTTTTTGTGCAACGTTGCCAAGATTAGCAGAGCTGTCCAATAAGAGAATGTGGTAACTTGAAACAAATTGTAACTCAGGGGAGCAGATAATCTACAGCAGTATAACACCATCTTATTGAAAAATAATAAATAAATACATATATTCCCTGGTGGAGATGTAGCTTTACAAAGCATCAAAACACTCATTTGCAAAAGTACAGAATTTATTAGCTCATTCAACTCTCAGATAGGTCCTGTCTATTCACATACCGTGATTGTCCCCGAGAGACTACTCATTTTCTGTTTAGATTCTGAGCTAACGCTCTGTTTGTCTTATCTGTTTAGGGTGGGTGACATTTGCTTTGAGTTCTATGCTCTTTATTATTTCCCATTGATTCTCTTGTTTGTTATTTATTGTGCATTCATCTCCTCTCTCCTGAGTAACTTCAAGATAAAGTTATTTCAGCACAAGAAAGTGAGGACGATGCATTTACCATTTTGGATGAAAACATAATCCCGGGGAGAGCTTGCAGGCGACATCTGAGTGTGTCACCAAGATAACTGCAGAAGCAGAAGCAGATTCCCCATCTCATGTTCCCTTTCCTGTGTTATTTGTCACCACAAGACGGAGATGAGGATGAGAAAACACATGAAGAGGCAGAAGAGAAGAGGAGGAAGACGCTGGGTGCCATGGTTGCATCACAGCACGCCCCTCTCTGAGAGTTCCTTAGTGCAGGATGTTCGTGACCCAGCGCCCTTTGGATGGCGTTGGCCCTGGGCTGGATGCTGTGAGCCTGGAAGAGGTGACTGTCTATCTCTGGGCTTTCTCTGAAAGGGACTGAGGATGGGCAGCAACCCTCTGGCCAGCCCTTCCTTGGAGGGAGATCTAGGTGGCCCACCTCCTTGTCCTCCACAAGCGTCAACGCCAGGATCCCTGTGGTCCACTCATGGCTCTGATGACAACAGTTTGTTTGAACCACGTAACCACGTTGGACTTATTTCTTCAGTCCTATGCCACACTGTTGGGAAGAGCTCCTCAACGTTCAATATATTCCTTCCAGTCTCTCACTTCTCCCTCTTACCCTTGTAAAATACCCAGGAAAAGTACTTGTCTTCGTGTTTTGGGGAAAATATTGCTATAGGAAATATAGCAAATCTTTGCCATAGAAAAATATCTTAGACTTGGCAGTTTATACATAATAGAAATGTGTTTCTCACCACTCTCGAGACTGGGAAGTACAAGGTCAAGGCTTGATACAGAGGCACAGCTGGCAGCATTGCTTCTATGTCTCACCTTCTTCCTTCCAGGCGGACCAGCTCCTGCAGCCCCTGCCCTCCTGTCTCTGTGCCCCCCAGCCAGTAGCCCATGTGGAAGGGTTTGGAGTTTGGGCCTGGAAGATCTGAGTTCAAATTCTGCGTAGTCTTCCCTGTACACCTGTGAGCCTTGCTTCCTGATATGAGCAGGCGGCATCATAATTCCTATCTCAGATGGCTGTTGGAAGGATGGAGGATGCTTCCTGAAGTGAAAAATACTGTACAATGTTGCTGCAAAGAAGATAACACATGGGACCAGGAACTCTGAGAGGTAGAGCCTGAGAGACATGGTCTCCAGGTGCATCAGAATACACAGGGGCTGAGCAGAGGGAGACCAGAGAGGAAGCAAGTGCTTAGTGACATCAGTAGGGAAGACAGTCCCAAAGGACAACTGTCCACCTAAGCCCAGCCCTCCGAATGTCAGTGATTTGAAAAGAGTAACCATCACTGCCACACAGAGTCAGTTACTGAGTCGGTTGGGCTCAGGACACCAGACTAAAGACGGTGCATTGATCATCTCCAGCTTTATACAGTCTTGGCATCCTGGCATCGTATTTAGTCAGAGTTCTCCAGAGAAACAAAGCCAGTTGGTCCTGTGTATGTGTGTGTGCCTCTGTGTGTGTGTAGATATATTTATTTATACAGTTGACCCTTGAACAACATGGGTTTAAACTGCATGGATCCACTTACCTTCAGATTCTGTTCAATGAATATACTGAAGCATTTTTTTGAAATTTGTAACAATTCAAACAAAACTAGCAGACAACCCTTATAGCCTAAAAACAAAACAAAACAAAATCCAAAAAAGGTGTGTCATGAATGTGTAAAGTATACGTAGATACGAGTCTATGTGTTAAGTAACAGTTTATGTTATCGGTAAGGCATCTGGTCAACAGTAGGCTCTTTTCAGTTAGGTTTTTGGGGGAGTCAAAAGATATACTCAGGTTTTCAGCTGTGTGTGGTGGTGGGGGGTTGGTCAGTGGTCAGTGCCCCAACCTTTGTATGCTTCAGGGGTCCCCTGTATATACTTGACATTAATCTCCTTACACGCAGGTGTGTACACACACATGCACACACACACATTTACTATAAGAATTTACTATAAGGAACTGACTCACATGATTATGGAGTTGACAAGACCGAAGACCTGCAAGGGGTGAGTCAGCAAGCTGGAGACCAGGAAAGCCAGTGTTTTAGCTCCAGTCGGAAGGCGGAAAAAAAAATGCTGTCCAATTTAAAGCCCACCAGGCAAGGGGAAGTCTTGCCTCCTCTGGGGCAGGTCAGCCTTTTGTTCTATTTGGGTCTTCAGCTGATTGGACCAGACCCACCCACACTGGGGAGAGCCATCTGCTTTCCTCAGTCGGCTGATTCAAATGTTAATATCATCTGGGACATTCTCACAGACACACCCAGAATCTCGTGTGGTCCAATGTCTGAGCACCTTGTGGTGCAGTCAGGTTCACACAGAAAACTAACCCTCACACCTGTTTACACATAGAGTCACAGGCTCAGAGGCAAGTCACTCACCCAGGTCATGGGGCCACCATGCGGTAAGCAAAGATTTGCAGCCGATCTGCCTGCTGGCTGCTGCTGTAGGTCCAGTCTCATATGGGGACCTCAGAAATGTTTCCATTGGGCACTCAGTAAAGCCAAGTGTGAGATTGCTTAGAATATCATAACATTTTATATTTTATAATCACAGGAAGGATCCCCCATTTTTTTCCATAAATGAAAAAAAAACTTCTTAAAATGTTTAATGCAGGACCTAGTAAATCAAGAAACATATTTAACTCTTAGAATTATGATGCTGGAAACCAGGATCTTATGCGCCTTTTGCACAGGCTAGAGAGTGTCTGGAGGGACTGGCGGCGTCTAGCAATTTATCTACAGCACGTAGAGCATGCCTTTCCTCTACTTGCTTCCCATCCATACAGATTCGCTAAACTTTAAGTGACTAAATGAATATATGAATACATGAATGAGCAACTGGCCTTTTTATCTAAACTTTTTCACGAGTATAGCAAATTTAGAGAACTCTGTAATCAGGGTGCATACATCAAGTGAGTGATCTGCCTGAACGCTTTAGGGAATGATAATGATTTGTGGAATCTGCCACTCCTCATGGTCGGTAGGATTGGATGTGTAAAGTCAATGGCAGCACGTATTATTTTTAGCTTCTGACATGGGATCTTGTAAGATGTGATCTTGCTGCTTGATAGCCTCGCATTAATTATTTACAAGCTCTTGGATGTCATTGGCTTGGTATCATTCACCTCTTAGAACATTTCCCATTTTCAGGGGTTGATAGAAAGCAGTTCCGACCGGAAATGCTGTGTGGATACATCATTGTTTTATGATCTCCAAGTCTTACCTACTAATGGCTTGGTTTTGTTTCTTCCAGTGAAAAAGGCGATTGAGTTGAAGTCAAGAGGAGTCAAGATGCTGCCCAGCAAGGACGGAAGCCATAAAAACTCTGTCCGTGAGTCCCTTTCCTTTCTGTACGAGGATTGATGCGCCGGTAAAGGGGGAGCGGAGGAGAGAATGGAGCAGTTAAGGGGAAGCGTTCCCACCCACCGCCTTCCCCACATTGTCTCTTCCTTCTTTTCTACATCCAAGAATATTTTCTGGGAGAAAGAACATGGCACTAACTTCACTTTGTTAGGGAGGAATGTCCTTCTGCTTCTAACTCCTAACCATGTCTCACATCTGCCCTGATCACTGTCTGAGTCTGGACCTTCCAGATGGCTCTCTTAAGTAAATGTGACACAGTCAGGCATTTTTATAGCAGTCTCTCCGTCCTAGCACACCCCACACACACCAGACTAGACCGATATCTGGAAAGAAGTCTGTTCTTGTCTTTTGTCTATTAAAATGTTACGATGATTCACTGCCTGGAGAGTAAAGTAGCTTTCGGGCAATGTCTGCGTCCTTCCAAAGAGAAAAGAAGATCTGCAGACATATCTTGCTGATGACTTTTGCATGTGCCCAGCACCTGGTAGACACCAGATCAATAGCTGTGGGAGGAATGAAGGTGTCTGCCACACTTGTTATTTTGGTGCCTTGTCCTCGATGCCCCTCATCATCACTCAGCCATAGGAACCCCTGGCCATGCCTGGGCTAGGTCATGGTGCTTCTCTGCCATGAGGGCCCTTTGTCCTTTAGCTGAAAGCCGACAGCCTGTGTGCTTCTTGGAGACTCACTGTGCAGACCCTTCTTTCTCTGCAGGTGCAGTCAGCTCTCCCCTGGTTTTGCTCCCCCCATGCCCTTACACATGTCATAACAGTTACTGGGTACCAGCTTCACTGAGGGCTCGCTTTTCTTACAAACAAGAGATGAGTACCCTCTACTGAGATACCAGATGGGCTGACTTCCCGCAGGGGCTGTTTTCTGCTCATGCTCTTTCTGGGACTTTCTACCCATTGGGTTGTGTTTTCTGTGCTTCCCTAGCAACCTTTTCATGTGATGTTTCTAGCCTAGTTCCGTGGGTGCACCTGTTTTCCTGTGATGTTTCTAGCCTTGCTCCGTGGGTGCACCTGTTTTCCTCTGATGTTTCTAGCCTTGCTCCATGGGTGCACCTGTTTTCACGTGATATTTCTAGCCTACCTCCGTGGGTGCACTTGTTTTCCTGTGATGTTTCTAGCCTAGGTCCGTGGGTGCACCTGTTTTCATGTGATGTTTCTAACCTAGCTCCGTGGGTGCACCTGTTTTCCTCTGATGTTTCTAGCCTTGCTCCATGGGTGCACCTGTTTTCACGTGATATTTCTAGCCTACCTCCGTGGGTGCACTTGTTTTCCTGTGATGTTTCTAGCCTACCTCCGTGGGTGCACCTGTTTTCATGTGATGTTTCTAGCCTAGTTCCGTGGGTGCACCTGTTTTCACATGATGTTTCTAGCCTTGCTCCGTGGATGCACCTGTTTTCATGTGATGTTTCTAGCCTACCTCTGTGGATGCACCTGTTTTCATGTGATGTTTCTAGCCTACCTCCGTGGATGCACCTGTTTTCATGTGATGTTTCTAGCCTAGCTCCGTGGGTGCACCTGTTTTCCTGTGATGTTCCTAGCCTTGCTCCATGGGTGCACCTGTTTTCATGTGATGTTCCTAGCCTTGCTCCGTGAGTGCACCTGTTTTCACGTGATGTTTCTAGCCTTGCTCCATGGGTGCACCTGTTTTCCTGTGATGTTCCTAGCCTAGCTCCGTGGGTGCGCCTGTTTTCATGTGATGTTCCTAGCTTTGCTCCATGCGTGCACCTGTCCCTGGTGTTTTGCATCTGTGCATGTTTTTTTTTTCCGTTGCCTAGCAGTTAGTGGAAGGGCTGGGGTGGACATCTGAACCCCCTCAGGTCAACCAATTCTGTTTACATCTGTATGCTACAGCAGGCTTCTGCATGAGGTTTTATGTGCAACAAATATTCTGCTAAAACTAATAAATAAAAATAAACAATCAAAATCTTTTGAAAACGACACTATGGATTGACCTACGTCTTCATCACTTTAGGTTTCCTGACAATTGCTTGTGTGACAATAATCCATAGTCTGTGCTCAGTTCTGAGCAGGTTGGGAGGACAGAGAGATAAACCTGTACCCTGGCCCTCAGAGGCAGGCAGGAGCCACCACACTCTGACTACCACTCTGGCCCTTAGATCTCTCCCTCTTCCAAAAAAAAAAAAAATCAATCTGTAAATGTTTGTGTGGCACTTTCTATTGAACAGTCACAGCCAGTCACCCTTTAATGAAATTAGACTGGAAAAGGATGGGAAAACTGAAGGGAGAAAAACTGAAAAACAGTCGAAGGCATAAAGGCTTTTTTAAAAAATAAAATTTTTTAACATTTTAGTGTTGTTAGCTTTTAGCGTAGAATGTTCTGTAGAGGGAGATATAGTATTTACAATATTTTGAAAATGATTTTTATGATAAAACCCTGCACAAATGATCTAAAGTTCAATGTAGAACCGGCCAAACTCTTATATCCGGCCAAACTCTTATATTAAATCAATATCAGGTTGGATATCCGATCAACCGGGCATCAGATTTTTCTGTTATTGTAACATTTAGGCAGAGCTTTCTTTCTTTTTTAATAAGGAGACTATCTCTTCTGTCCTCATCTGAACACAGATTGACATGTACATAGTGACTCATTTGGTGTTAGAAAGCATTCTGTCCTCTCTTTTAACAGTATTAAAGTACAGTTTTTTGGTCAGACGTGGGAATTAATCATTAGAGAAAATGAGGAATGGAAACCGTGAGCCTTCTGAGACGAGGAAGGTAATCAATGGTAACGTGTCATTCCAGAGAAAGGTATGACGGAGAAAATGAAATTGTTTCACTGATGAAAGGACATAGGGTTTGAAGCGAGAGAGGCAAGGATTCCATCGCTGTGCAAGTATGTGCCTTAGTCAAGTTCAAATATCATCGCTTACAAAATTATTAATAAACCAGTAATCCTTTTCATAGGGTTGTCACTCAGATAAACCAGGAGGTGTGTAAACTGCCTGTTCCAGAGTGTGGCATGCAGTGGGCATTCTGTACGCGTTTGGGGCCTTCAATATGTAAATGGCGGGAAGTGAACCACACGGGGTGAACGGCAGGGGAGGCCAGGCCAGGCCACCTTCCACCGCATCGTGCGTGCCTTGGGAGTTCCCGCCGTGCCTTAGGAGTTCCCGCCGTGAGCCCCGTTTTCTCTTCAGCTCCTCATGAACCCCTTGCCATCTGTAGGAGACCAAGTGTGAAGGTACTTTACGTTCTTGATACCCATGGTGACACTGGCTGCCCAGATGCCTGTTGCTGATGTGAAGATTTTATCTTCTGTCTACAGGGAGTGAAGTGCTGGTGCCTTCAATGGAGGCCTCGTTCCTTTTCAAGCCATTCCATTAACTTGAGTCTCTCCACTTCTGCGTCACCCCAAGATCTGGGTTCCTCTGGGAGACCACAGCTCTTGAAACTCTAGAGATTAGATCCCAGCACACAAACCTCTCTTGCAGAAGTGATAGAATCGTTTCCCCAACTAAGGGTTTTGTTGCAGATATGACAAAAGCTTTATGGAAAATGTCCAGCTCAGGGTCTGCAGGCACTGTTAGCTCTTGTTCCACACCCCCCTCTGTTTTCTTCCATCTTAGTATTTTTTATTCTGTAAAGTGGACATTGTTGTTTGTTTATGATCGCTCTTCTTCATGAGACTCCTCTGGCAGTAAAAGAAGTGACAGCAGCGGCCAGGGAATTATCTGTTCATTGTAGAGTGTGAAGCTGTCCCTGTTAAGTTTTCATCCAGTGCTGGCTTCACTAAAGCCAGGCAGGGGTGGACCCTGCTAGCAGCTCCTGTATTCTGCCCATGGAAAGCACCAGGGCATGGATGGGAGGCTGAGCTGCCTCCTGCAGTCCCCTCAAGCTGTCTCTGCTCCAAGGCACAAAAATCAGAGGTCACAGCTCTTTGCAAAGGGTGACCTTATGCATTCATCTCCATCTGGATTTCAGCACCAACTTTTGCCCCTTGTTGCCTCCAGCCTAGAAAGCAGCCATGACTCAGTGGTGACTCCTTCCCACGCCACTTCCCTGTCCCTGGTGGTGTCTGCAGATTCACCCTTTTGTAAACAGAGCCTTTGAAAGTAGCCCTGTCTTACTGGGTTCTTCTCCAAATGACATCTGATTCCTGATGGGACCCTGTCATGGTGATAGAAAATGTTCAAGGTTTTGATGAACTAAAGAGGGCAAGTTCTACCCAAAGTTCTAGATGTTAAAAAATAAAAATAAAAACAAACACTGGACAAAGCAAGAAATCCATGCCCTCAGACTATATCAGATCCACCCAAAGTCCTGTTCATTATTACCCTCACCCCTGTTCACTGTCGGGGCATCAGTAAGAGTTCAGGAAGTGCAGAAAGAGAAAGAAAGAGATGACAGCAGGGAATGGGAGAATTTCCGTGACAGCCTCAGGAAACTTGCTATTTGATAATTAAACAGATGAAGGTCACTGGTCTGATTGTCTAAGGTGTTATCCAGGCTTGTTGTCTCATGACCAAGAAAATTAAGGGGCATGGTTACAAAGCGTGAGGTTGGAGTGAAAGTTTAATAAGTGAGAGAAGAAAGCTCTTTGCAAGGGAGAGGGGATCCCGAATGGGTTGCCGCTTTTACAGCTGAATTCAAAAGTTTTATGAGAAGCTCCTCATCTCTGTAGCTGTTTGAGTAACTTTTCTAATCTGTAAATCTGTCTGCATAACTACCCCTTATTTGTGTAGTTGTGGTTATGTCCCTAGGCAAGTACAAAGCACCACTTCTCTTGTTTGTATAACTGTGGGTTTGTTTCAGGGAAGCCCCACTCCTCCCTGTGTGAGTTCTCATGGAGCCCACTGTGTATATGCCTGAAAAAAGGAGGAAACTTTTTCCTGGGAGCTCGCTAATCACACAAAGAACAGAAGGCTTCTGTGCTGAATCCTGCCAGCTCATCTGTGCAGGTGCATCCTGCTTCTGTACTGGAACATGCCTGCTC